AAAAAAACAAAAACAAAAAACAAGAAGCCAACAAAAATTGCAACTAAATAATAAATTATAATAAATAACAATCTCAGTAAATTTAAGATTTTAGCGATTTATAGACTCTATAGACTAACCACAGATGCAGCATGCAGCAATTTTAGCTATAGGCTAGTATTCGTAACATTGCTGTTACATACAGTGAAAGCTCCAGTAGTTACTCAATATTAATAATATCTTCTTTAATTGTAATGATACACTAATTTTGATGGAAATATGAAAGATTTCATGAGCAATATTTATTTATACCATCACGTGCTTTTCGAAAACTGACAACAAGAGCGTGCACCGCCTAACAAAGGTCTGAAGACTAGCAATAAAATACGAATGAAAATTATATGACTAACAAATAAAATTGTAATAATAATTACATTTTATAAATTGTAATTACATATTATAAATTAAACATATTTTGTTTAACTGGAATTTGTGCTCTGCATTTAACTCATCCAAGTGCACACACACACAGTGAACAAACACGCACACACACCGTGAGCACACACCCGGAGCAGTGGGCAGCCAATGCTGCGGACCTTCGGGTTACAAGTCCAACTCCATCCATTAAGCCACGACTTCCCCCTTTTTTTTATAGATAGAGGCTTCCATCTTTTAGTTCCTCTTCAATGGTCTTCTGAAGGTTCCTTCATGATCTTTGGTCTCAAAATCAACATGACAAATGTGAACATAGTTTTTTTTTTTTTTTACTGATTGATCCATAAAATGACAATGATGTGGTAGTTTTCTAGCTCTAAATGAAACTGATACAAGCATGCAAGCACAGGATGTAGCAGTGATAAATAATGTTCTTTTTAGCAACATCATATGACCCCTTTAAATAGCTAAATCCATTTTCAACAGTGGGCTTCCACGTTTTATGGGGACATTCCATAGACGTAATGATTTTTATACTGTACAAACTGTAAATTGTATCCCCTACCCCTAAACCTTTCCCTCACGGAAAACAAAAAAAAATCCTTCTGTATGATTTATAAGCTGTTTCCTCATGGGGACCAAAAATAGCCCCACAAGGACAAAATTTACTGGAATCACTATCCTCGTGGGGTCTCATACACACACAAAGTCATTTGGATGTTGATTTATATGTTTATATGAAATGTGAGAAACATTTATACATTAGGTTATACATTATACATTATTTGTAATTAGTAGTAGTTTTTGTTTATTAGCTGATTTGATTTATTAGTTTATTTTTTTATGTTTGTGATTAGTTGGGACCAGTTGTGATTGATACTTGTCGAAATAAATCTCTTTCTAATGCTTGTATTGCATGTTTTCCATATTTCACTTATACAGAAAACCTTGGTGTTTCAGTACCCTTATAGCACACATAACAAACCAATATCTGGATCAGGAGTGTGGGGGGGGGGCATGATGGATATATTATCAGGGACCCTCAAGCTCCCAAAAAATGCAAAGCAAAAATCATATTTAAAGGTCCCATGTGTAACGCCCCTGTGTCCTTATTTGGTTGTTCCTGTCCTCATTATTAGTTAATTACCTTGATTGTGCTCACCTGTCTGCCCCTCGTTATCCACCCTATATTAGTTCCTGCCTCCTGTAGTCTAGTTTGTCGGTTATTGTGAATGTTACCCTGAGTGTGTGTATGTCTCACCTGTCTGGATCTGCCTTGTTGTGTCTACATTAAATATCTTTATTGGAACCCTTGTCGTCCTCGTCATCCTGCCTGCCTCCACACACCTTGACCGTGACACCATGAAATTCTTTCCTGCGTGACGTATTTCCTACTGAAACAGTAAATTAAATCATATGGAAGGGCTTGTCCCTTTTTAAATAGTCAATAGCCTTTGCTTACGTCACAGCCATGAGACATGATTTGCTAAAGTGCTACTTCTTTTAGTTGGCAGATTGTACACATTAACCAACAATGTGGGTGTCTTTTTATAGCACATGACAGACAATTTTATGTTTAAAACTTTCAACAGTTTGGGATGTAGAGAGCATTTTACTGGACACAAGTATGTGCACCCCTGCAGACAAAACGTCATCAATATTTTTATGTGGTTTTCCAAGAAGAGAAAACATGTGAATTTTAAACATGTTAAAGTGTTGAACGTTTATTCAGTCATCTTTTAGCAGCATACTCACATAACACATAGCAACAGACAAAACTAATATTATAACAATTTCCCCTTACAAGAAGTTCCAAAAGTTTGATTCATATTAAGAAAACAATTTTGGCAACAGAAGTAATGTCTTCTCTTCTGTCATTGTTCAACACTCAAACAAATACTGTTTATAAGCATTTTATTTATAAAACAAAATCTAATTACATAAACTTGATTTATAGCTATAATTTAGTGGGCAGTAATATTTGTCCTTCCTTACTTTCCTTCATTTCAAGTTTGAACACATTACCTTAAAAAAAAGTGCCTGTGAAATATTTAGTTTCCACACTATTTAACATGGATAATCAAAGTCAGTCCCAGGATTCAATCTTGTTCTTATCTCATTCCATGTTAATTTCATAACTTAGGGGTGCTAAACCTTTCTTCACATCAAATACACATCAGTGCAATTCCTGTCCTTCAGCTTCTTCCATGTCAACTACAATGCCTTCATCATCAATATCTGGCTCCGTCTGAGGTTGGAGATGGATGGGGTATGACACATCATCATACAAAATTTGCCCATGAAGGCCTCTCTGGTTCTCCATGCACTGCACTGAAAGCTGAATATTCGTAATCATTAGTAATGAATCTTAATTCATTCAAAGTAATCATGAGCCAAGCTCTCTTCTCATTACCTCTACAGTAGGCTCGATTAATATATTATCCTGCTCAAATGTGCCTTCAGAAATCCCTTCTTGGTTGTCCACATACTGAACGGAAACCTTAAAACATCAAATAATATAACCATTTAAAATCACTGCTACAGAATTTCACAAAATTTGAGCAAATACAAAATCATTTTAATTAAACCTTTGAACCGGCTATCAGTAGTCTGAAACTTAAAACTAGGAATAACAAAGCAAATAATAATAATACAGTAAACCAAATTATATGATATAGAGTATGTCCATAACTAACTGTCACACTCGTGACAAGGAGGCAAACAGGCAGAGTATATCAAAGGATTAGGGTTTATTAACACAACGGAGAAAATGCTTCCAACAGAAAGGGATCAACTTAGAATAACTGGAAGCTGAGAACACAGTCTTATCTGGTGAGGAATGCCAGTTCCTTGGTTGAGAGCAGAAGAATCCTAGGCTTTAGGCAGGCAGGCAGGAGAGGAACCCGAGTTGAGATGCTTGTAACCTCGAGACCAGCCGATGAGTGACTGAGGTGAGTGTGTATTTGACTGGTGTGGTAAGTGGGTGCAGGTGTCCGTGATTAGTAATCGGGTGATTGTGAGCGGGTGTAAGAGGCTGATTCGGCTGGTGAGGCAGGTGTTTCCGTGACACTAACAATAGGCATTATTTACTTACTCCAGATGTGTTTGTATTATCAAAACCAGCTTCAGGGCGAATCCCTCCTCTGTTTTCTACGTCTGTCACACTCTAGAACACATCCATCAATGATTTAAAGATATGTCTTTAACTTAAATACGAAATTAGATTGATAAAAACATTATAAAGCACATTAGGCACCTTTACAAGTTCATACATGCTATGATTTTAAATGAAAACCCTCGGTGAACACTCACTGTACATATGCTTGTTGTCGTAATGAGTTATAGACATAACTTACGGTAAAAAGGTATAGAGTTAGGCTAATTATCTTTATCACAACCGAAGAAATTAGATGATGACAGTAATGTTTTTCCTTAATTCACATACCATGGCTTCAGTGACGGAGATGTCGGAAAGCCAACTAAAACTGTCGTCGATCAGTTAATGGTGTACACTCAAAAGTCGATGTATCTGATTCTTGTCCTTGGAAATTCACATCTATTCAACTTTACTAATCTACAGATGTTTGTAATCGCCCTAAAACTTAAAATCCTTTCTTGGCCCTGCGCCAATTCATTGCATGTGTGAATGGCGCCAATTTTGTGTGACGTCTTTGCGTGTTTACGTCATGTCTTCTACATCATGCAGATCTGCTGCTTACTTTTTCAGGCGATACATAAAATGTGCATATTATGTAGGGGGGTGATAAGGTAGAAAGGTGGGCCTAGCTGTGCTTTGCACATCAAACCATCCGATTTATCCCAACAGAAGAGCAGAGCTAAA